ATTTAGTCTTTATGTACATATTTCTGTGACCCACTTCTAAGTCTAGAAATCAGTATGAGTTTTAAAGTAATTTATATCTTTCTATTCATTCCTTTTTCTGCCTAGCATGGTACTGTAATACTTAATTTAGTGAATGAAGCAAGCTTCACCTTAAGAAAAGATTTAGAATTTAATTATATATCTTCTTTTTGCTTTTCACAGTCTAATAAAATCCTTAAGTTATTTTAAGTATATGAACCCTCATTAGACCAAAATCCTGCATGTGGACAAAATACAGTTTCCAGTCATTACTAAAGCTATTCCCAAACTAGTTCTATCTCTTTACTTGAACAAAATGAGTTTTGCTCCACACTTTCCTTTCCCAGAATACTAAAGGAATTGAAATTAACCCAATTCTTGATTACTTCCTTGTTCTCCCAGTGGCATAAATTATAATGTATGCATAGCTATGAGAACACTGCTGGCTGCCTACACAGTGATTCAAGTATACCCTTTTTCTTCTTCCTTGAAGTTTCTTAATTTTTTCCCATTTATCAGACCAAAAAGAATAAAGTTGTGACTTATCACCAGCCTTTTTAAAAATGTTAATACTTATAAATGTTTTACCATTTTTTTAATGGTAAAAACGAATATAGGCTCTGTATTTCCTAAACCATAAGGGGGCACTATTCCCAAAGCCATTCTAAAGATTTCATTGAAATGTCCTTATAATTCTTACAATAGACCTGTTTTGTGTGTTCTTCTTGCATACTTCATTTTTAGTAAGTAAACAAAATATCCAACTAGTATAACAGCTGTGTACAAATAACTAAGAGTGGGATACATTTGAACCCATTACTCAGTTATCTCATTTGTGTTAGAAATGTCTTCACATAATTCCAGGTAAGTCAAGAAGATGTTTGGGGAAAGGAAAAGTCCCCAAATACGTATTACTAAATGTTTTAATAATAGTTTGAAGTACCATCCTACATTTCTAGACTCTTCCAAAATGCTCTGGCTTCCATTCTCTCACTCAACAGTTTATTTGCAAATCACAGGTGTTTACTTACAGATCAAACCATTATTTCACCCAAAAACTCCAAACATTCTAAAATATAATGCAGTGTGTTGTTCTTCAAAAATGTATTCAGTTTAAAAAAAGATTTCATTGACTGCCTCTGATGCACCAAGCACTAAACTACATTCTGGGAAAACAGGAAAAAGGGTCTCTAAACTCATGAAGTCAATTATTAATTTCAGAAAAGTAGACAAAAATATTCATACTCGTCGTGCATATGAACACAAATACTTCATCTGATTCTAACCTTACCCCCACTTGATCAAAATTTATGCTAATCGCAAAATACAAACTATATCACTGATGTAACAAATTACCACCAAATTGGCCACAATTATTACTGAAACACATTTTGTCTCAACACTACTCTCTGTAGTTGCCCATTTTCTCCAGTGTATTTCCTTACCTTATTGGACTAAGAAATGCACTTCCTAAACAGAAAAATAACAGTTTACAAGATAGAATTTTTTTGTACTATTATTATTCCAATGACTTCTGCAAAAATGAGGAACTGAAAGGAAAATGCAAAACTAAAAATAGTAAAATGTTTAACAGGCTTTAAAAAAAAGTTTAAATTGATATCTTTAGGTCATTTATGTGCATCATAATCTATTTTTTTCCTAAGCTGAGTAAATACCATATTATTATTTACCTAAGAGTAGTCAATTCTGAATGTTAAAAAATCTACATTTTAAATGTTTTGTTTTTTTTTTTTTTTTTTTTTTTTTTTTAATATAAGGGCATACACCATCTCTAACTTAAAGATTTTCTGTCACATTTTGTAAGAGTAAAGAACCACCTATCACTACAAGTGGGCTATTCCAATGTGCTTGAAAATAATCTTAAACATCACCCTTCAAATTTTATTTACAAATGATCAATTTGCTTAGCAACCTTTTTTCCATAGACAAAAATGTAAGAGCAACTAAATCAGAATTAGATCAAATAAATAATACAACAGCCATATTTCTAACAAAAAGCATAAAAAGTTCAGGCGATACGAAGAAATAAATTGCTTAAGAACATCATTTTACAAAGCCACCTAGGCAGATCTAAAACCAGTTGTATTTCTTGTCCTGACCTGAGTAAGAAAGGCTTCAAAATATACCGTTAGTTTCTACACAGAGCCAGTTCTTCACTTAGAACACTGACCTTATACCACTTACTTCTCCCATCTAAATATAGCTACTAACTATGCAAATTAAATGGAGCTATTAGTTATGCAAATAGTTAGGTGATCATTACTAATATAATTTCCAACCCTGGAAATAACAGTTGCTACATTTCAAACAATTGCCTTTTGAGTTTCATAATTTTGGTTTTTTAATCTAAAACAATACTTTAAATTAACTATGTATAAACCTATTGAACTACGTTAGTATTCACATTAAACATAAAGTTATTTACATAAAATATTAATATATTTAGTTTACTCTTCTATGTAAAAAAAAAAAAAAAAAAGAAAAGAAAGCCTGTATTGACTTCTTCAAATGAGCTTCCTCTGGGTCTATTTGGTTTGTTTGGCAACCAACTCACTGACTCACAGGAGATAATAAAAAACGTTCCCCAGTCAAGGATATCTCCTAGCACCCCCTCCCTGTTAAGGACCTTAGTATAAAATTCAAGTTAACACAGAGTTTACGAACCATTACACTAAGGAAAATTGATAAGAAGTTAATGTTTCTCAAAATTCAGTAGTAGTTTGTACTACAAAGTTTGCTTTAGGGAAAAGCAGTGAAAATTACTAGACTTCAAGTCAGAAGAACTGCATTCAGCTCCTCATTCTACCACCCACCAGTTATACAACCAGAACATGTGACCCATCTGGGACTGGTTTCTCATCTAAGAAACCTTGTTCACAGACCTTCAAAAAAGTCTTCAGGACTAAATTTTCAAAATATGGAGTGATAAGCATAATAAAACAACCACTCAAGTATGTATTACATGTGAACCCAGAAGTCTTCTTTCTTAAAGATTTCATTGGTAGAAATTTTCTTAAATTCCCTTACATTGCTTACAATTCACATAAAATTGGAAACAATACCAAAATGAAACCAAAAACATTATAGTAAATCCTGCAAAAAGATAACAGCCAAAAGGTGAGGGAAAAAAATCTCACACCTTCCCCCCCCCCAAAAAAAATGAATTCAAATTAATCATTTCTGAGACAATAAAGGACTACATTCAGATGAAGAATGGTTTCAATTTTACCTAAACCCTAGCACATACAGTTTCAGTTAAGTAAATTCATCACCTTTTTCTTTCTAATCTTTATCATGGTTCTCAGATGTTTTTGCTCACAAATACAGAAGAGGAACTTCAGGCAAAGGAGTTTATCCCAAAAACGCTTATGTCAGAGCAATGAAGACTGGAGTAATAATATCTAGCAAATAATGTGGTCACCTATGGACATGTAAGGGTAGGGGTCTAATTAGCATTGAGCTAGATATCATAAATATCAAAAGGAGCATTCCACATTTTGAGAATATAGATCATCTCCAAGCACAAGCTTCAGCATGGGACCAATCCAGCTGTAAGCAAGTCCAGTAATTTGAGAAGTGGCTTGAAGTCAATCCTGCTTCAAAATCAGTCAATAACTGCACATGAACAATATAAACTTATCTAGTAGCCACAGGCAAGGAATTTCAGAGTGCTGACCCTTTGGAAGCAGCAAGTAGCAAACTACCCTGAATTAAGAGTCTAAAATTATCTTCTTGAGCTTCAGAAACAAATCACAGTTTTAAAACTCAACTGTAACTAAATTTCCTTCAAAACCTTAAAGGTACCATAATAAAGCACACGACACCAAAAATCTTAGATTCAAGCCCAAGCTCTAATGTTGCTGTGAATAAGCTGCGGTCATTTAATACGCTTCACTCATTTCTTCTGTGAAGTAGAAAAGGTAGAGATTATTTCAAGAAATAAAAACTAACAGTGGAAAACTTAGATTCTTAAGATGAAACATGGCCAATCTTTCATTGTACAACTCAAATAAAATTATATATGTGAAACTGCTCAAAAACAATGCTTGCCACAATGTAAGTGTTAAATAGTGCTAGCTATTATACTAACTTTAATCAAGTAAAAAATATATTTAACAACCAAGTCAACAAGCTGGATATTTAATAACCCAAATCTTGTTTATTACCCAGGCATTCAGGCTCTCAGAATGAAGACCTTAGTTTAGCCTAGCAGATATTGCAGTGGGAAAAATAGTAAGATCTCTTTGCTGACAGATTTTTATATTAGTATTTATTTAGCCTAAAATAATCTATTTATTCTAGCTGTCACAATTTTTTTAAGTTATTTCTTTCTTTTAAAAAAACCTCTTACCAGAATCACAAATTCTTCCGATAAACCTGTCTTTTCCATTTATTCCGAATATTGATCAAACCTGAATATCCAGGGATAAAAACAATGTCAGAAATCCTAGATCTACCTTGGAAAAATGCTGTTTGAAGCCCACAACCAGAATTGTTTTGGCCAGCCATTATACCATTTGCAAATGGAAATAACACCAAAGTGTAAATTATCTGGAGTCCTAGGACAACAACAGATCTAGTCATCAAAAAGCAGGATGTGTGAAAAAGAAAGAGATCATGACTTGACAAAGAAGCCCCAAATCCTCCACACCCTGTCTATATAATCTTGGGAAAGCCACTTGATCTGAGCCTCATTCTCTTTATCTGTAGAATGGGAATAATCCTACTTCTTGCACTAGGCTGTTTGAAAGATCAAATGAACACACACACAGGAAAGCGCTTTATAGCCTAAAACGTGTGATACAAACATAACACATTACAAAGACCAGTATTTTTTGTTGTTGCATGAGCAGTAACAGTTTCTTAACATCGCACAGGTTAAGTAAGTCTAAATATAGACTTTTGATTTCAAAGTAAACCAGTGCCATTACTTAAAATTACTATTAAAAAAAAAAAAAAACTTGCCTTAGATTGAGTCCTTTTTCCATTTCTCATGCTAAATTTCTCCTTCATTTCTTCTAATATTATCTTCAGTTTCTTTTCTTCAGGTGTCCCTAAGTATTTCTGGTTCACATGAAGATAGCAATGCCATTTGGCTGACTCAAAGCCCCAGTGGCAAGTCCTTTTGTCAGGTGATCTGTGAGAATGCATCACAAATGTCTGGGGCGCAAACATTCCACAGCACTCCAGACACTGAATACATGGAGCATCAGGCTGAACATAAAACTGGGGTGCAAACAGACCCTGACATTTGCCCAAGCATTCATGTTCCACTTCAAAGGCACTGCCAGTTTCCTTTAACTGGGCCAATGAGTTTTTAGCAGGAAGTACACTACCATTTTGAGGAAAAGTGCGTGGCCGCAATAAAGCATTACATAGTCTTTGTGCATCAGTTAATGTGATCAACCCACAGGATGGGGCATTGAATGGAAGTATTCCCAGGACCTTTAAGATATGAAGCTGGTCTGAAGTACACCGTGAACAATAGATGTACAATTCGTCACAGACCGTATTTATTTGCTGGAGTGAAAATTCTCGGAGAACAGAATTTAAGACTTGAGGCAAACAGAGTCTCTTTTCTCCTCCAACCTGAAAACAAGAAATAGACTCCCCTTCCAACACAGTCTGTGTGAGTTCTGTGGAGCTATCAGAAGGGATGAACAGTGGACCAGGAAGAACCTGAGGAGATGGAAGAGGCAGAAATACAGTGGGTGACATGCTTTCTTGGGAATACCGAGCAGAAAATGCTGCTGGTCCACCCAGAGAGCTCTGACTACTTAAATGAAATTGTGCCAAAGTGTGTTTCAAACTGGGATTTAAATGTAAAGGTTCTGGCACAGAGGCACAGGTTCGCTTGACGTGCTCCCCATCGGTTTCCATTGGCACTTCATAGTCCTCCAAGTGTTCCTTCTTTACTGTTGGCATCTTGTTTATCATCATTTTTCCATTTGCAGGAACGTCTGTCATCATTTTTTTCACTGGAGGGCCGCAATCATCTCCCATCCCATTCAGTTTTTTATTTGAGCCCTGAACCAAGGAATAATTTGTCTGTAGATTTTCCATTGCTAAAAACTGTGGTGTTAAATAAGTAAGTCTGAGATTTGCATTGTTATTTAGTCACTCATTCCAAGAGAGAAGCAATGAATATCAATAGTTCTAGTAGCTTACTCTCACAGAAAACTTAAATTTCCAAAGAGAAATCTCCCTAAATTACTCAAGAGATTTTACAATTTTATTTGGTTCTGCTTATACTCTAGTATAATTTCACTGCTAGTGCTATAAATTTCTTCTTTTGTCCCTAATAATAAAGAATATAATTTTGAGAGGCACACCTCTGAGGAAGCCTTTTTTCTTAACTCTTCAAATAGATGCATTAAAATAAACTTATCAGTTCTCTCAATTCGGAATGTCCAGATTCAGTGCAATGGTTTGGTCTGGTTTGGAGCAAAACATGTGAAAAGTTTATGCAATTACTTGTGTCATAAAACCTAGACACAAATATAAATCAAAATGTTGCACCCAAATTTAGTTTTTGGCACCAAGGACACCAAAAAAGGAAAAGAAAACACTATCTTCTCTAAAAGTGATGATCTGTTGGTCTGTGTTGACCAACTGAAGGTTTGTAGAAATCCTCAAAAACGGTAAGAAGAGCCTCTGACTCCACTTGAACTTCTACAGTTAAAAATGATATCTAAAGAAAAATTGCCCAGTTATCTTCATGGATTACTGTTCATTCGTCTTTTAATTAATCTGGAAGAGAAGAGCAGTGAGGGAGAGTTATACTTGAATTTGCTCAGAGGCCAAAGGGTCAGTTTGAAACTAGTTTCTTAATCTTATACTGAGTTCACTTTACCAAAGGTGACACTTGAGCGATTTCTTTAAATCTAACACCAGTTAACTAGAAGAACGTCATTTAAACAGGAAAATAATTTGTAGAATGGGTAAAGGGAGCAATAACATCCCTGAAAAGGGAATAGAAGAACCTTAAATAGATCATCTCACCTAAAACTAAGTACCAGAGTCTTTCCCAGTTATGCCATTTGAACTATAATAATCCATTACTTCATCTCTTAATTTTAAAAAATGCCAGTTTCATCCAAAAAAATCAGATACGTGCTAACATATCTACCACATGTACCTAACTTACAATTTTAAGGGCATTAATTCACCCAGTCAGTGTACGCTATTTTTTCTGGAATGACTGTAGGCAAAAATTAACTTTCCCTTTAAAAGGTTAGTGGATTTGCTTAATGGAAGCCAAAAGCTATAGACTTCACTCCTGGGAATCTCCATCCTTAACGAGACTAATTCCGGACAAAAAACACAAGGCAGACAGACCTCACAAAGAATGCAAATGGAGGAAGAGGAGAAAAGAAAAGATTCTTCTTCCACTTCCTTCTTGAGAGGACACCCAAAAGAAATCCAATAAATAAAAATGCCTCCCAAACTCTCAGCAGTTTCCCTTAAAAGAGACCCAAAGGGTTACGGACCCAGGCCACTAACCAATGTTCTGACTTTCGCCCACCACAGAAACACCTCAGCCAACGCAGACCGAGAAAGAGGGCAGGAGGCATGACCTACAATGGGGGAGCCCCCCCAAACTCTGAAATCCTCGGCCCACGCAAATCCACCCACCCATTACAAACCCGAGGGGGAGGGCGGAGTGGCGGACAGGGGAGCCGGGACGCCTTGGGCTGCGCAAGGGGAGAGTGGGAAGTGGAAAAAGAGGAGTCCCCCAACCCCCACCCACGGTCTCGGGACAACCCCAAGTGCCCTCCCAATACTGCCCCACTGCGGGGGCCGCAGGGAGGACTGTGGAAATCCCCCCCCCGTACCCTCGCCCCAGGAAGTTCTCGGGTGTTACCCCAGCACCCCTAAGGCTGCACCTCCCCCGCCTCCCCGGGGCCAGAAAGGAGAAGGGTCTGCGGGCGGGTGGGGCGCCTAGCCGGGATCTCCGCGCCGCTGGGCGCCGACAGACGCCCGGGGCATCCCCGAGGAGCGCAGACGGGCGGCTGGGGAAGGGTGGGGGGGAGTGACGGGCGTCCGGGTCTCCGGGGTCCCGACGGCTCCGGTCAAGTGCAGCGCCCTTCCAGCCTAGGGTCAGCGAGGCTTGATCCGCCGTGGGACACCCGCCCTGCGCCCCCCGTGGCCCCGACCCCACCCGGGACCCGCGCATCCGGACCCCCGACTTCGGCCTCCGCGCCCGAGGTAGCTCGACGAGCTTTGTTAACTCCCCACTATCCACGGCACCGCCGTCGGGCTGCCCCAAGGCCGCGCGCCCCTTGCCGCCCGCCGCGCCCGCCGCGTCCTCACCACGAGCCGGGGCCGCACCTGTGCCAGCCGCCGCCGCTCGCCCGCTCCCTTCGGCTGTGCCGGCGCCGCTCCGAACCCCACACACATCGCTACACACAGCCCTCTGACGTCACCGAGCCCTCGGCCCGCCCACGTCACTGCGGAGACACACGGCTTCCCGCAGACGCCGCCATATAAATCCCGGCCATGAAGGGAGAGCAGGGGCAGCGGGAAGAAGGAAGGAAGGGAACAGGCAGACCGGCAGTGGCACCGCGCGCGCGCCGGAATGACGCGCGTCGCTGCCGCCCTCGCGACTCCCAGCCCCTCGGGGACGCGCGCGCCGTCTGGCCTATTGTGGCCTGCTCTCGGAACCACTCCTCACCTCGCCCGTCGCCTCGCAGCGCCTGCGCCCTCCCCTACAGGCGCGCGCGGCGCCACGAGCGGTCCTCGACCTCGCGCTTGCCGTCTGGGCGGCTGGCGCCACACTGGAGAGCACAGCACAAAGATGTTCCTCCGCCCACCCCACTGCCGCCCACTCCCTCCTTCCTTCCTCGTCGATGCCGTCCAGCTGTCCTGGGGACCTCCCGCCACGCCCGACCCCACGCCCGCTGCTCTGTGGGGAATTGACGAGGCCAGACCAGGGGCGCCCTCCCTGCCTTCCTGCCAGCACTGACCTAGGGAGAGGGGTGAGGGCGCGCGGTGCACCCTGTTGCTGCCCATGCTGGAGCCAGCACTGGGGGGGACCGCAGCCGAGAGAGCACACTCGCCCGAGGTAGGCACGGGCGACCCCCCGGGCACAGCCCTGGCGACCCGCCCTGGAGGGCAACAGCAGATTGGCGGCACGACCGCCCTGCAACAGCCGCCCAGTTGCAGACCCCCGCTCCCCGGGGCGCGCACGCAGGGCTGCCCACTTCCCACAGGACCTCCCGCTGCCAGGCATGCCGCCTGCCCAGGCTGCCTGCCGCTCGCCTCCACCATCGGCGGCTGACTTATGCGGGCGCCTCCTGCAGACGCCTTCCCAGGCTGACCTCCATCCGCCATCCCAGCCAGGCTGGAGGACTGGATAATTCAGACAAACCAGGGAAAAACATTTTTGTCCCCTACTCTCAGCCTCTCTCCCCACCTTTCTCCTCACTAGGTTGCTCCCTCGGTTCAAAAGGAGCGGTAGAAATTACAGGTTTCTGTGTTTACTGAGGCTTTTTATTGTATTTGGTTTTTTTGTTTCAGGGGAAGACTGAGATAAGAGGAAAGGAAGGTACAGACGTACCGGTGACTTTCAGAGCTTTTGACCCTAGGGCGGCAGGAATAGTCTCCTGGTCGTAATGTTCAGGGTAATGTACTATATTGAACTCTTGCCAGGGTTGCTCTGCTGTCATCTTTCCGAAACTTATAAGAATCCTTTTTCTCACCGGTGCTAGATCAGGAACTGAAATAGTCCTCCAAGTCGCACTGCACAGAATTTAGAGGACTGGAGCTTAGTCTCTTTTTCCCCCCTGCTCCTTTTCGCCCATTTTTGTCCAATTTCTCCTGGTTTTACTGCTTGGAGGTCTCTCCTACGGGGTCCACATTTGGAGCTGGCCGACTGGAAACAGTCCTGTGCTCATAGATTTTTCCCCCCTCTTTTACTCGATGAAGGCCTACCAAAGGCTCACAAGCCTCTTATTCCCCCCACTCCCAAGTTCCATCCTACCACCAGCACGCCCCCATCGATAAATGCTCCGGGTCTTGCCCTCTCTCGCCCACCCCCCCCCCACCTTCCTCTTCTTCTTGACTGCCTCCTTTGCTGAACATGAATAATTCCGCAGCACTTCCCATCTGTTATTGCCATAGAGACAGAAGCTCGGCAAAGATAATGATGTTCTGTGCAGAGCCAGTGGGGGGAGAACAGCATCTGTGAGTCTGGGGGATAGATTTTCTAACCGGGAGAATATTTAGAAGGCCCGGCTGCAGATACAGTGTGGAAGACTGGACAGTCCTGAGACTTGGCATCCAGTCAACCCTTGGCACCTGGCTCATGTCTCTCCAGAAGAAACAATTTTTGGAAACCAGAATGACAGATTTTTTAAAAAGTGATTCCAAACTGCAATTAATGATACATGTTTAGTACTCATTTTATATCAGCCATAAAAATAATTACTTGCTAGCATGTCCAAAGACCTAAGAACCAAAATAAATTGGACAGTAAATAGACTTTTGAGAAATCAAACGCATTATCCCCGCCACTGTTCTTTTGATTTGCTTTCCCCGGGAATCTGTTTTTTGAGGGAAGGATCTTTTGTGCCTGTTATTTTATGTACAATGGTTTGAGAAATAGTGACAGGCAAATGTGGCTAGAACCAATCAAGCTTTGAGGGCATTTTTTTTTTCATTATTCATCAAAGTACAAAACGTATCAAATTAAAATTCACTTTGCCCTTGAATTCCCAAGGTCTCAGCCTCCAAGGTACAGGTTTGAACACAAGTTAAACTAAGCAGAGTACATTTACATGATGCAGATGGGGAGGCTCATTCTAAGCCAGATTTCTGCAGGCCTACTTAAACATTTTCAGAAATTATCAGTAAAACTGATTGCATAACATGAAAAAAAAAAAAAACACTGAAGCAAATGAGAATGGTTCTTTATCTCAGAAACAGAATTAAATGGACACAGAGAATACAATCCTTGGAAAAAATAAGCACTGTGAGGTCATGATTATCGTACTTCCCACATATGGATGGTCTTAATCAGTGTTGAAAAGCCATCTCGAGTATTGGTTAGTAAATAGCTTTTA